TCACTAAACAAGACTCTTTTCAGGGCCCCCATCCTTAGTAGTTGTCAATATCCCTATTAGCTATGATCATTTGAATAGAAGGTGCCTGGGGATGAGGGGTCCATATAATTCAGTATCTGATTCAGACATACTAACCCCCAGGCAATCTGGCACCAATCCCATTTGTACTGTAAGCTGTTGTTGGCAATTCTCTCTGAGAAACACTTTAGAAACATAATCCCTGGTAAAGAGCAGCAGAAAGCTCTACACTGCAGTAAAACTAAATATCATTTCCAAATGTAAATTGTTTGACAATTAAAAAATACAATTTAAATAATAGCATGAATGGGCTGGGCAGGTTGGCTCATGTCTGCAGCCCAGGACTTTGGGAGGCCAAGATGGGCGCATCACTTGAGATCAGGAGGTTGAGGCCAGCCTGGCTAACATGGAGAAACCACGGTCTCTACTAAAAAAACTACAAAAATACCTGAGTGCACCTGTAATCCCAGTTACTCAGGAGGCTGAGGCCTGAGAATCACTTGAACCCAGAAAGCGGAGTTTGCAGTAAGCTGTGATTGTGCACTGCCTCTAGCCTGGGCCGCAGAGTGACACCCTGTCTCCAGTAAATAAATAAATAAATATACCAAGAGTGAAGAGCTTTGAAAACAGATATATGTCAGGTGGGCCAGGTGACTAGTGCCTGTAATCCCAGCATTTTGAGAGGCCAAGGTGGGTGGTTAAGCTGATGTCAGGAATTTTGAGACCAGCCTGGTCAACATGATGAAACCCGTCTCTACTAAAAACACAAAAATTACTGCGGGGAGATACCATGATCATGAAGGTGGTTTTTCCCAGGCAAGGCTCATCCATTGCATCCAGATGCCGATGTGCTGACCCTGTGATTTCCCCAAATGTGGTAAACTGAACTGCAAAGCTTGTGGTAGTGGGGGACTGTGGTTTGTGCATTCCCCTGATAAAAAATAAATAAAAAAAATTAGCCAATGTGGTAAATGCTGTAATTCCAACTACTTGGGAGGCTGAGTGAGGAGATTTGCTTGAACTCAGAGGCAGAAGTTGAAGTGAGCTGAGATTACACCACTGCACTCCAGCCTGGGTGACAGAGCAAACTCCGTATCAAAGGCTGGAAATTTTCTTTTGTTCAAAATAAAGATGGGCATCTGCTTTTTTGACCAGCTGGTGTCCAACTCCTTGCCTCAGATGATCCTCCTGTAGCCTCCCAAAGTGTTGGGATTACAGGTATGAGCACCACACATGGCCTATCCTGAAATATTGCACCTGATCTAGGAGATTGTATAGTGTCTTTAAAGTTCTTTACATTCTGAGTCCGGTGCTGTGGCTCATGCCAGTAATCCAGTACTTCAGAAGACAAGGAGAAATTACCTACAGTTAAGAGTTTGAGACAGCCTGGCTAACATGGCGAAACCCTGTTTCTAGTAAAAATACAAGTATTTGCCAGGCATGGTGGTGTGCATCTGTAATCCCAGCTACTCAGGAGGCTGAGGCAGGAAAATCCCTTGAACCCAGAGCAGAGGTTGTGCAGTTAGCCGAGATCTCTCATCATTGCACTACAGCCTGAGCAACAGAGCAAAACTCAATCTCAAAAACAAACAA